CACTCTTCGGTTAAACTAGCCTATATCCGGGTCGAGGTGGCACGACTCCAGGGGGTCCATGAGACTCGGCAATATTTAGCGGCGGGGGGGTCCTCTAGGACTACCTCGGCCCTTTGGGATGATTGGGGATCATTGGTCAGGTGTGGCTAAGAAGAAGGGTTCGTCGAAAGGTTAATCTCCTCTTCGGGGTTTTCCTCATCCTCGAAGAGGTCATCTCCTCGGACAAGGTGGTTAGAGAGAATATTTCCCATGTGCCTTGCACATGGGCTCCATCCTACATCATGAGGTGCTTATAAATAGCACCCACCTATAGTTTTACAAGAAATGGATTTTGGAGATTTAACTATTGGGAAAGAACTAATTTCCCTTCTCCATTATCAACCTTGAGAGTAAAAGTGGGAGATTCGTGGGAGAGCCTTGCCATTATTCCCTCTTTAGCCAGTTTGCTTTCTTCTTCACTCAATCTCTTATCTCCATCATCTCCTTTACTCTTGTGTTCTTAAGTTGAGACTATTGAAGAATCTAAACCTCTCATCATCTTCTAGAGAATTTGAAGTTGTTCTTCAAGGATCTTCGAATTTTCCAACTCCTTTCTTGAACCCCCTCATACAGTTTTCAATCTTGATTAACTTATTATCTAACATACTAAATTACTTATTTATATCTTTAGTGAATTTTTTATAACTTTCACTCAAAATATGTTATTTTTTTAGGTTTGTCAAGACAAGTCTTTTGCAAAAATTAAAAAAATAAATTCGTAATTAAAAGAGGATCTCCCCTTCTCTTTAAAAAAAAGGGAAAAAAAAAATTTTGATTCTTTTAATTTTATATATAAAAAAAATGGGGAAATTACTCATAGGTCCCATGGGAAAGATGTGATCTCCATTTAATCCCATAACTTTTTCACTACACCCAAAAGTCCTTTTCTCTCTCTCTCTGCTTTTTGCTTCCCTTCCTCTCTCGTTTTTTTTCTACATTTTTCTGTCACCGTGTTTGTCATGGAAGAGGACCACCGGTGATCATATCTTTCTCCATTGATCGGGGTTCATTGATAACCACCAAGCATTGAAATCAACTCCGACGAAGAAGATGATATATTTTCCGACGAAGAAGATGAATGGATCTACTTAGATCTGATATAGATCTACTCAGATCTACATCAGATCTGAGTAGATCTACACAGATTTGGTTAGACATCCGTCTTTCCCCTTCGATCTCTTTTTTTTTTTTTTTTCTCTCTGCTATACACTTCTGTTTTTCTTTTCTAATGGAGAAAATTTTCGAATTCTGAACAAGCAGTTTTCGAGTTTTAGTTACAGGCGGTGAAAACTGTAAAATTTTGCAGTTTCAAATTTTTTTTTTGGTGCTGGAATGAATCATGGTTTAAAACTGTAAAATTTTGCAGTTTTATAACATTCTTTAGAACTGTAAAATTTTACAGTTTCATAACATGTTTTTTAATTTTTTTTTTCCGGCAATATTCTAAACATTCCGGTGAGTCTCCGGTGACCGTTAAATGGAAATCCGACGGTAGTAAGATGTGAACAGTGTCTATAAATTAAAAAAAAAAAAGAAAGATTTTTTGGTAACAATTAAAAATGCGTTGGACTAATTGGTGCAAGTATTTTATTTTGGGATTAGTTGGATTTTGAACTTGTTATATGGGACTTATCAGTAAGTTACCCAAAAAAAATTAGGGCCGTCTACTAGATGGACGTAAAAAAGTTTTAATAAAAATTGATATGATTTTTTAAAAAAATTCACAGAGATTCAGATATTCCCATGGCCACATTGGTCAGTTGATTGCTGAGATTCGAGCCCAACAGATGAGGCCCATACCATTGGGATCTCCAGCCGTAACGTTAATTTGACTGGTTTTTTATAGGCCTTCAGTCCATTCAAATAAAGTGTGTCAAATGAAATTTATGCTTGTTAGGTATCATTTTCATTTCATTTTTATTTTCATGCTTTTGGAAGAAATGAAAATTCAAAAAACATGGTGCGAAATATGTTTTCAAAAATTCAAAAACAAAATTTCAGTGAACTCTGAAAGTGGATGATTGTTTTTAGGATTTTATTTTTCAAAAATAAATTTTAAAAACAATCCATCAAACAAATTTCGAAACATATGAAATAAGTACCCATTTATCATTCTCATTAATGACCCGTTATTTGATTTGTTTAATTGTACATGAAATTTTTCTTAGATATCTTCATTTTTTAATTATCACATGAAAGTAACTCATGATAGATACAAATTGTGATATTAAAGATAACAAAAGAGCTATTAGAAGCATCTCAATTACTGTGCAATTTTGTCCATAAACTAAATTTTCATAAAAGCTGAGAAATTTCTCATTTTTTTGTTAACTGTGAAATTTTTAAGTTATGAGATTTTTATTATCTCTACAAAAGATTAGGGGGATCTTTTTGTTTTTGTGGAAGTGATTAAAGAACATTCAACTAACAAAAGAAAAAAAATTCTATCACACATCCACAGGCATTTAATAAATCCAAACAATCCCAAGAAATATCCCAAAACAATACAATGGAAAAGATCAATTTGTGTGCACGGAAAGATTCAAACCGCTACCCTTTTAATGAGATGTAAAACTCTTGAGCAAGAGTTAGCCTAATGGCTTATTCTATCATTATGATTGCATGGTGGATAGTTTGGTGGATGTTCTTCAATGAGAAAATCATCAAACAACATACGATGTTTGTTTGCTGGATTATGTCTGGAGTTGTCTTCAACCTGCATAGCTATAGGCACCTAGGGTAGTGTCCGTGGGGGGTTGATTTGATTCCACTACAGGCTCTTTGTGTTCTTGATATGAGACACTTCTCTCTGAGTCACTGTTCTATCTTGTTTGTTATTATTGTGCTCATGATTCTGTAAAATATTCATCTTCCTCTTAAAGTTTTTTTCAAAAACTTCATTGAGCACATATTAGACCTTGTTGGGAATATACTATTTTAGTAACTTTTTGATTTTTTATGAAAAGATGTGTAGAAAAGTAGATAGAGTGATGTAGGGCTCGTTTGGGAACAGACTATTTTAGTAATTTTTTTGGTTTTTTGGCTAAAATATGAGATAAAAAAAAATAGTATGTTTGGAATGACTTTTTGATTTTTTACGAAAAGATGTACAAAAAGTAGAGAGAAAATGGAATGTTTGACTTTTTTGTATAAGTTATGGGCTTTATGGTTTTTTTAATAACTTTTTTATTTTTAGACTAAAACAAGCGCATGCCAAACGAGACCTTATAGTGACTTTAACTTTTTTGCTAAAATGTATAGTTGACAAATGAGACCTTAGTATATCACAAAATAATTCAGATATATGTTAAAAAAATGGTAAATCATACATGTAGTACATGTAATTTATCTTTTCTGCCAATTTGGATCTTATAATTCCAATTTGTATCAATTTCATTCTTTAATTTTTCACATTGTATCAAATTAATCTAATTGATAACATTCGTTAGGAAATTAGATAAAATTCAAGGTTAAAATGATCAATTAAAATAAGAACGAACCATTTCAAAGTAGACAATAACTATTCAATCACTTTGAGTCGAGTGAATTCCTAAAAAGGCATTATCAATTAGATAAAATTGATATAATGTGAAAAGTTTAAGGATAAAATTGATGTAACTAGAATTATAATAATAGAATTGACGTGGGCTAAACTATAAGACTATGATTGTAATTTGTTCAACAAAAAAATAAAAATAAAAATAAAAATGATGGGTATATTTTTTTGATCATTAAATGATGGGTATATAGCTAGATTGATTGATTTTGACAATCACGTGTGATAATGTATTTATCTAAATTATATGCATGATTTTAATGAATGTGGTTAGCTGTCCTATGATCCTATCTATTCAAAAGTGGTCTCCAATATTTGTGAGCAAAAAAATAATTCTTTGTACTGAAGGATTTCAATTATGTAGATACCAACGAGGCATATCAAATCTTGTGTTGTATTGTAAACAAGTCTCTTTAGGATTATTTTTATGAAATTCAATTTCCATTGCTACCTTTTTTTATTGCTAAAAGGGAGGGAAAAGGGGGGGGGCAACTCAAGAAAGAACCAAAGAAAAGAAAGTAAGTTTAAATTCCCAGCAACCAAACAAAAGATGATAACAATCCAGCCCTAAAAAGTTAAATGGTAGAAGAATCATGTCATGTGCACTGTTCTTGCTAGAAGAGAATTGAAGAGAAGATAGAGAAAAAAAAGAAAAAGAAAAGAAAAGAAAAGAAAAGAAAGTTTATGGAGAGGCCTACAAAGGTGTCTAAAGTCTTGGTTGGTATTTGTTTATGAGTACTTTGGAAGGGTGGATAGGAGGCTCAACCTCTGTGAAGTGTGACCAAACAATGTGCTCTCTTTAAAAGTTGTTTGACTTGGAGGGCTTTGCTAAAAAGAAAAAGAACACCTTTATCTAAGAATGAAAGAAAATAAAGCTGCTGCCCTTTATTGTTCTACCCACATTCTCTTCATTCAATGGTGCATGACAGGGTTGAGGGACCTCTCCTCCATAACTTTCTCTCTCCAACATTTATTTTAAAATTTGTTATATTATACAAATATAAAACTATACAGAAGGATATGATACAATGTTTTTTAATTTAAAGTAAAAATTGATTAAACTGACTTATAATTTTAAAATCGTTTGCCACAATCGTTCTTCTGAAATTTTTTACAAAAATATCATTTTCCTTCTGAACTTCATATCTATGCTTTTCTCTCATAATTCTTCTGTCTCTCATAACTTTCATTCCATTTTTCATTTCCATTCTTTGTTTTTATAATTTCTTAATCATATTCAATAAAGCTTCTGCCACATGTGTACTTTGAGACTTCTTTAAAAAAGGAAAAGGCAGAGACCGACCTTGAGTTTCAAACGTAATAAAGAGATTAAGAGACAAACTAATAGAAAGATTAGTGACTGGCCAAACAAAAAGTAAATCTTTTGATTATCAAACACTTTACATCAACCAAACGTAACAAACTTCACATAATTCAATGAAGTTCTGAAAGCAACAGAGTTGACCCAGTAGATAAGGCTTGACACTTCAACTATCTCAGTTGTGTTCAATGCTAGCATCTCCTTGATAACAAACTTGTCTATATTATTATTATTGAATGATCAATCAAAAGAAGTACAAATATATAATCTAATAGAGTTAAACTCTAATCAAATTCTAACAACCTAAAGGACTATACTATCCTTAATGAAGAATATAAACTACATAATTCACGCCCCCCTCAAACTGAGGATGCGAGCGCAGAATGTATTGAAAGTTTGCTAAGAAGAAAAGGAAAATGAGCAACAGTGTGAGTCTTCGTAAAAAAATGGGCCAACTGAAGAGAGGAGGAAACAAAATGGAGAGTAATAGTGCCAGCCTGAAGATGCTGTCTGACAAAGTGACAATCTATTTCAACATGCTTGGTCCGCTCATGAAAGACTGAATTATGGGCAATTTGGACAGCACTCTGATTATCACAATACAACGGAGTCGGATCAGAAAGAGAGACACCCATATCAAAAAAAAGCCACCGAAGCCAAACAATCTCAGAAGTAGCATGAGCCATGGCACGATACTCAGCCTCAGCGGTGGAACGAGTAACAACAGACTGTTTCTTACTCTTCCAAGATATGAGAGAATCGCCGAGGAAAACACAAAGACCAGAAGTAGATTTGCGATCAAAGATGTCACCTACCCAATCAGCGTCAACATAAGCACGAAGAGTCAAGTCCGAAGAGGCAGATAAAAGCAAACATTGCAGCAAAGTGCCACGAAGGTAGCGCAGAGTACGAAGTAAGACAGCCCAGTGTGTGGAACGAGGAACAGAAACAAACTGATTGAGAATGTGCACAGCATAGGAGATATCCGGACGAGTAACGGTGAGATAAACAAGGTACCCAACCAACTCGCGGTACAAAGTGGGATCCTCAAGAGGAACGCCATCAGAAGTAGAAAATTTAGCATGCAACTCAAAAGGAGTGTCGACAATGTTGTCATCAGTGAGATTGGCACGAGAAAGAATATCATGGGCATACTTAGTCTGAAAGAGAAGATACCCAGTAGAAGAAGTAGCAACCTCAATACCAAGAAAATATCGAAGAGATCTTAAATCCTTCATCTTGAACTCTTGAAGCAACTAATGCTTAGCCTCCTCAATAGTACTATAATCAGAGCCAGTGATGATCATATCATCCACATATAAGAGAAGAAGAACAAGGCCAACAGAAGTGCGCCGAACAAAGAGAGCACAATCATGATGACTAGGGTGAAAACCAAGCTGAAGTGCAACAGAGTGAAATCACTCATACCAAGCATGAGAAGACTGCTTGAGACCATATAGAGCATGGGGAAGACGACAAACAACATCAGGATGGTGAGAGAGACCCGGTGGAGGGTGCATATACACTTCTTCAGCAAGATGCCTATTCAGAAAAGCATTTTTGACATCTAGTTGAAACAAAGGTTAGTGATGGGCAACAGCAACAGAAATAAGAGTATGAACAGTAGTCATCTTGGCAACGGGGGAAAAAGTCTCATCGTAATCAATCCCATACTCCTGAGAAAAGCCCTGGGCAACCAAACGAGTTTTGTACCATTCCAAAGAACCATCAAAAAGGGTTTTGACCTTATAGACCTATTTACGGCCCACAATATTCTTGCCAGCAGGTAATGGAACCAAATCCCAAGTTTGAGTGTTAGCCAAAGCAGTTAACTCGTCATGCATGGCAGCAATCCAATTGGGATCATGACAAGCTTCCTTGTAGGACCTGGGTTCAAAATAAGTATGAAGACAAGAAAGAAAAGACTGATAGGATGGGGAAAAACATGTATTACCAAAACCATACCAGTTTGGAGGATGACGGTTTCGCTTTGGAAAGCGATGTGCAAGAGGAGCGGGATCCAAAGAAACAGCTAGAGGGATAGTAAAGCTAGAGACGTGCGAGCTCGGAAGTGCTTTGCGACGCTGATAAACAAGAAGAGGAGGAAGGGGAACGGAAGCTAGAGAGGAAATAGCTGGCGAGATATTAGGAGTGCTAGTAAGAGGCAAAGTAGAGACCTCAAAATCAGAAACAAACTCATCGGGGGAAACATCAGGAGGAAATGGGTCAATGTGAACCAATTCATCCTTTATAATAGGGACAGGGGTGGAAGGTATAGTGTAATAGGATAGTTTTTCTAAAAAGGTGACATGACTAGACACATATAGCTTTTTGGTGACAGGATCATAGCACCGATAATCTTTTTGATTAATGCCATACCCTAAAAAGACACATAGGACACAACGAGAACTAAGCTTAAATTGCGCCCGTTTAGGAAGGAGCACAAAGCATGCAGAACCGAAAATACGAAGAAGAGAATAGTTGGGAGTAACACCAAAAAGACGCTCATACGGAGATGAGCCTGAAAGAAAAGGAGTAGGCATTCGATTAAGAAGATATGCAGCAGTGATCACAGCTTCTCCCTAGAAAACAGATGGGACAAAAGAGGAGAGCAACAAAGAGTGAGCTGTATCAAGGAGATGGCGATGTTTGCGTTCAGCTCGACCATTTTGGACAGGAGTGTCAGAACACGAAGACTGATGAATAGTGCCATGAGTAGCTAAACGCTCCTCAAACTCAGACAAGTAATACTCACCCCCTAAATCAGAACGAAGAACTTTAATGGTGGCAGAAAACTGAGTGCGAATCATGGAGTGAAAAGTAGAATAGATTTTATAAAAATCAGATTTTCGAGTCATCAAATAAATCCAGGTAAACCGATTGTAATCATCCACAAAAGACACATAATATTGCGAACCACCTTTGGTAACTATAAGGGAAGGACCCCAAACATCAGTATGAACTAATTGAAAATGAGAAGATGAAATAGAATCACTTTTATTAAAAGGAAGAGTAGACACTTTAGCTAGTTTACAACCACGACACTCAGAAATATCATCAATGGAAAAATTGCCTAAATGTCCAGACCGAACTAACATCCTCAAACGATTAAAATGCCAAATATAAAATAAAGAAGACTTATTGTTTAAACAAAAAGAAGACAATGCAGTAGAAGACACTTCTGGAGGAACATGCAAGTTGTCCAAGATATATAGTTCTCCAACTCTATGCCCGATCCCAATCTGCCTCTTAGATACCCAATCCTGCACAACACAATGAGAAAAAGAAAAAATAGTATCAAAACCGGAATTAGATAATTGACTAATAGAAATAAGACTGAGTGAGAGGTAAGGCACATAAAATACAGTCAGAAATATCATCAATGGAAAAATTGCCTAAATGTCCAGATCGAACTAACATCCTCAAACGATTAAAATGCCAAATATAAAATAAAAAAGACTTATTGTTTAAACAAAAAGAAGACAATGCAGTAGAAGACACTTCTGGAGGAACATGCAAGTTGTCCAAGATATATAGTTCTCCAACTCTATGCCCGATCCCAATCTGCCTCTTAGATACCCAATCCTGCACAACACAATGAGAAAAAGAAAAAATAGTATCAAAACCGGAATTAGATAATTGACTAATAGAAATAAGACTGAGTGAGAGGTAAGGCACATAAAATACAGGAGAAATAGACAAATGGGAAGAAGAAATAAAACCAATAGAGTGTATAGGCATAGAAGAACCATTAGCTGTAGCAATAGTGATAGAAGAAGAATGAGAGACACAATTACTGAGGAAAGATGCCATAGGGGTCATATGATGTGAACAACCAGAATAAAAAATTCACGAAGTGTGGATATTACCTAAAGAGGATAAACCAGTCAAACCTAACTGAGTTGTAGTCATAGCAGAGGCCTGGGATGAAAGATTTGGATTGGCCACCATGAAAGACTTGAACAGCTCAAACATAGACTGCATATTGGAAGACGGACCATTCTCAGAAATTGGTGCAGAAAAGACGGCAGGTGAGCGAGATCCCGAAGATGTCGGCTTAGAGGATGGTGGACCAAATGAACGACCCTTAGGCTGCAAAAGCTTAGGACAAGCATGTTTCCAATGGCCTTTCTGATGATAGAAGCTGCACTCATCCATGGAAACCCGAGGCTTGGGCTTACCAGTAACCTGAAATAAAGGAGACGGTAGGGTGGGCAAGAGCGCAGGAGTGGCAAAAACTGACTGGGAAGCAGGAGCACCATGAGCCACCTTAAACCGAGTTTCTTCCGCAATAAGCTCACGAACAGCACCATCCACAGAAGGCAAGGGAGACCAATGAAAAATAGCTTCCCGAAGTGGCTCAAATTGATCTCGAAGGGCCATAAGAAATTGAACAAGATGTTGCTTCTCCCGATACTTGGTATAACTGTCAAGTAACTGTAAATCTGACGGTTCCATCAAAGCAAGCTGATCCCAATAAGTAGTCATCTCATTTTAGAACTCCTGAATGGACTTATCTTTCTAACTAGCACAGCGAATAGACATCTCAAGTTCATACTGTTTTGCAAAGTTAGACTCAAGGTACATACTTTTCAAATAGTCCCAAACTTGTTTAGAAATAGAATACTTGGAAAAATTCATACCAATGGTAGTTTAAACTGAATTATGAAACCAAGTAAGAATTTGTGCATTTTCCTTATCCTATTTAGCAACATCAACCTCAGTTTCTTGAGATTCCGTAGGTCTAATAGTCACGCTAATCACGTAGTTCCACATGCCTTTACCCATTATAAATTTTTTCATTACATGAGACCAATAAAAGTAATTGGTATCATCTAACTTAGTGGTGATAGCTTGTAATTTATCATCAACCATAATACTATAATTAAGTAACATAGTAAAACCAAAACACAGTGACTAATCAAAGTTGCTACTACTATAATTACCCAGCCAATTACGTCAAACTTATAATAACCTTATCACCACAAATATCAATCAAGAGAACCAAGGCAAAGCAGAGAGCGAGAGAGACTGATACTAAAATCAGAAGTCAATTTCAGAGCCACAGACAGATAGGCTAATTTCAGACCTTACTTTAATCGTGTGAACTAGAGGAAGAGAGAGAGAGGTCACCAATCCGAGCCACGCAGAGGAATTACAGAGGGCTGCGACGAGGGGCTGCGATGAGAGGCTTCGATCGAACCAGATGAGGGGCTGCGATGGTCGATGATGACGTAGGGCTCCGACGCAATCGGATGAACACGTAACCTAGGGCTCAGAACCAGCAACCAGCAAGAGCCAAGTGCAATGAAGAGAACAGAGACCACAGAGAACTTCAGCGAAGGCCTTGCAAAGAAAAAGAAAGGGACTGTGATGGTCGATGATGACTTGCGAAGGTATGCTAACATCTGAGTCGTGGCTCTGATACCATGATAACAAACTTGTCTATATTATTATTGAATGATCAATCAAAAGAAGTACAAATATATAATCTAATAAAGTTAAACCCTAATCAAACCCTAACAACCTAAAGGACTATACTATCCTTAATGAAGAATATAAACTACATAATTCACACTCATTTGTCTGAAAAAAGAAAAAATTTATTAATTTTTTATATTGCTTAAGTATTCTTATAACGCATATAAGATGATCCTAAATTATTTAATATAGTACTTAAATTATTCCATTAGATTTTTTTTTTTTTTTTTTTTTTGCTACACTTATTTTAGTCTCCTTTAAAACAAATTTATGGCTTCGTCCCTACCCTCTCTCCCCCCTGCTAACGCTATATTATAGTAGAAATTTTCAATGTCAAAAGAAAATTTAAATTAAATTCTCAAATAAATAAATAAATAAATAAATAAAAGGCTTCATATCATTGATGTACATATATTAGCCAATTTCAATGCTCATTTCCTTGTCCATTTGTTTCAAATTAGTAGGGAAACTTTCTAGGCTTTATGTGCTGCTGGGTACCTACTATACTAAGTTTGTGGAAAGTGTTATCACAACCAATGGATGTAACTTGTTTCCTACTTTTTTTTGGTTCAAAGAATAGAAAATCAAATGTTAGTATACAAATTGACTACCAACAATTATTTATTCTCTACCCAACCTCTTGCCCATTACCCTTTCAAACTCTCTAATCATGGAGAGAAAATAATTCTGGTTATGTTATGGTATGAAACGAATGGGAAATTACACCAAGATAAATTAGGGGTCTTATTTCTTTGCATCATCGTTTTAACATTGTGTTTGGATCTTAAAACTTTTTGAAAAAAATAAATAAAAGAAAAGAGAAATGAAGTAAAAGAGCATGTCACTTACCCTGTTTGATTGTGTTTTTGTTTACATTCTCCCGATGTTTTTTATTTTATTTTATTTTATTTTAAAAAAAACACGAAAAAACCTTGTTGGATAGATTGTTTCTAAAACATGTTTTCAAAAAGAATTTCTAGAAAAAACAATTTTTTAGGAAATACCAAGAAGTTGTGCTCTCAAAACTTCAAAATTACTGAACTAACTCAGTTGGCTCCCTATGTATATTTCTATCTAAGAGATCATCAAAAGGTCAATTATTTACTAAATGCAAATATTAATAATTTATTTTCTATTTGTAGTATTGTTAATTTCTATCATATTATTAGGCTCTTTCTTAAGTTGTTTGGTTGTTGGACTTCCATAATTGTAAGATTATGATTGTCTAAATGTAATTATTTTCACATTATTAATGATCATCTACTTATTGACAAAAATAAAAATAAAAAAATCTTACAAAATTGAAAGTGATATGTGAATGATGAGTCTTTCACACTTTATAATGTTTTGTTTACAAAAACACAAAAAATGAAAACAAAAAATAAAAAATAAATGAAAACACAGCTAACTCCCATACCACATTACAAATTCAATGTTCATGAATCAAACACTTTCTTATTGATGAAGTTGGATGGGATTCATGTCTTGTCATTATCGTCCAACCCATTTGAAGTTTTTCTCAACATCCATGCCATGCATAGTGGTCCTCTTAGAATGGTCCAATACATATATGGCTAGAGAGGGGACAAAATGCCCTACACGTTTCTTTGTTTCAATGTGAAGGGCACAATACTAAACAAGCAAGAGTCCCCTTGGCGTTTTGAGAGCATGGACCATTTTGTTAAAAGAAATTTATAAAAAAAAAAAATCATTTTTGCATACATAAGAAAACACAATTAAGAACAAACATTCTTGTTTACCTCCTCATTTTAGGATATTGTATGTGAGGATAGTGCAAGATATGATATTCTCCCACCAAGACAAGAAGACGACAAGTTCGTTCTAGCACTATACTTATGGGCCCCTTAGCTTATGCTATGTGTTCCCTAGTGTGAAAACCTAAATTGAGCTTGTGTCATCATCTTCTTGTTCAATGAAGGAAATACCTAACATGGCCTTGCTATTATTAAATGAGCATGAGAGAGAGAGAGAGAGAGAGAGAGAGAGAGAGAGAGAGAGAGAGAGGAGGCAAACAATTTTTTGGCTTTCACACAGTTCTTTAGAAATAGAGTAATGCTAGTAAGACATTTATGATATTCTCCCACCAAGACAAGAAGACGACAAGTTCGTTCTAGCACTATACTTATGGGCCCCTTAGCTTATGCTATGTGTTCCCTAGTGTGAAAACCTAAATTGAGCTTGTGTCATCATCTTCTTATTCAATGAAGGAAATACCTAACATGGCCTTGCTATTATTAAATGAGCATGAGAGAGAGAGAGAGAGAGAGAGAGAGAGAGAGGAGGCAAACAATTTTTGGCTTTCACACAGTTCTTTAGAAATAGAGTAATGCTAGTAAGACATTTATTTATATATAATACTTCTTTAGAAATAAAAAAATAATGATATTTATCACTAGTAATAGTTAATTCTCCCTTCTTTTTTATGACATTCAGGAGGAAAGGTGAAGGGGAAGTTGCATAATGCAAAAATGAGATTCGAATTCAGACATCACTTACTTATTTCCATTTCTTAGGTAGATCTGCACATAGTGTTCATTGTATGAATGCACGTAACGGGTGAAAAAGAAAGGGTAAAATCGTAATGATGAAGTTAGGGGTGAGGAGCTCTTTCACATAGAATCAAAGGACACAGGAACTCAAATAAAAGTTTCCTTTAAAAAAAAAAAAAAAAAGGAATTCAAATTAAAGTATATTTTTTGTGATGGCAAAAGTTACTTGACTGCCATATCATCAATAGTGTATCACTATACATTCACATTGAAGCCCATATGCCCAACACTCAAATGGAGAGGGAGGAAAAAGCTCTCTTTTTCATGTACAAACACTCCTTTATTCCTTGGTCCTCCTCCTTGTCAGAGTCCTTATCCATCCACTACTTCTCACCTTCACCCCTTCTGGCTTGCTGCCAACGTGGCACACACTCCCTCCTCTGTTGGACCTCCTCCACCTGCTGAGCTGGAACAGGTGCCCAATCCGCTTTCGCCACCTAAGTGAGCCACGGGGCTTTGCATTGTGCTCTACCACAATGCTCTTGGTGGAGTCCTTGCTCATCAAACTCTGGTGGTTCCAAGAGATGTTCTTGCAGTGATCTAGAGAGGCCTTGGTAGAGACTGTGCCCTTCTCCCATGAGCTAACACCATTGTCTTCAAACCTGATTGATATAAAAGAATCTGCAAAAAGCCAAAATCCCGAATAATTTGGTTACAAAATGCCAAAACTTCGTAGAGTAGATTAAATGTTACAAATATTTGGTAATTTACTGTGGTCAAAGATATAAAAGCTATCCAATCACTTTTATTGCAACAGTAGGAAAACAACAATGTCACGTATCCAAAAAAAATAATCTGAAATGTGGCCAAAATAAAGTGTGGCCCAAATTCATTCTGGGTGTAACACATATCGCACTAAATATTTGAGATGACTTAAATAAGCGTATTTTTTGTCTTTTTATAAAAAGATGTGCAGAAAAATAGAGAGGTGGTGTGATGAAAAAAAGATAAAAAGATTAATTATTTTATGTATGCCAAACTTGGCCTTAGCACTATATTTTTGGATCACTCTTGGACTACCATTTTTATTTTTGTAACTTTCTAGCTTTTTTAACAAGAAAATTGATTTGGAAAACAATACGACATGCATAGAAAAGGTATTCAAAAAAAATGTATCTAGGACTACAATGATTTTATGTATGACCCACATCTCACCAATTTTAAATTTATACCATACATATCATTTCAGGGTAAATTTCGAGGCAAAGTTTTGTGATTTATAGCATTTTCCATTGCAAAAATACAAAGGATGGAACAAATGTATGGATATTGAAAATGGCCCCAAGGATCCCTCTCAGATTTGTCAAAATAACATGCATAATATTGAAAAGTAAAATGAAACATTGATGCTTTTTTTTTTCTTTACTTTTTTTTTTCTTTATGGTTTTTCTCTACTTTTTTTGTAGTCTGTACTTACTGATTTTCTCATGTGTAGTTCAGACTGATGTCCCATGAACACGGAGAGATAGAATGATTTCTCATTTTCATAAAATTACACATCTGATAAATATATGTATATACATATGCATATAAACACAATGTATACACGCATAAACATCATATGTATATATATCATGTACATTTGTATACACAATTCTAAGAATTATTCTTAGCATTTTTTCTATCCAAATTGCTTCATTTTCGCGATAGATTTCCTGTCAAAGTCTTTATTTCCATTTTATTTTTGAATTATAGAAGTACTCCTTGTCAGTATTTATATATTAGTCACAAAGAATGTGTTTGGAGCATGCATAATATTGAAAAGTAAAATGAAACATTGATGCTTTTTTTTTTCTTTACTTTTTTTTTTTCTTTATGGTTTTTCTCTACTTTTTTTGTAGTCTGTACTTACTGATTTTCTCATGTGTAGTTCAGACTGATGTCCCATGAACACGGAGAGATAGAATGATTTCTCATTTTCATAAAATTACACATCTGATAAATATATGTATATACATATGCATATAAACACAATGTATACACGCATAAACATCATATGTATATATATCATGTACATTTGTATACACATTCTAAGAATTATTCTTAGCATTTTTTCTATCCAAATTGCTTCATTTTCGCGATAGATTTCCTGTCAAAGTCTTTATTTCCATTTTATTCTTGAATTATAGAAGTACTCCTTGTGAGTATTTATATATTAGTCACAAAGAATGTGTTTGGAGTATGGATTTAGGTAAGAATTTAGAAAGAGAAACGAAAAGGTAAATAAAATGTCAGAGCATCTCCAACCCATTAGGCATATGATACTTGTTAGTCAAAATGCCTAATGTGACTCACTTTTTTCAACTCCAATGCACTAGGCATATGCTTAGGCATTTTGGCTCAGCTCACATTCACTAGCTACATGTAGCTAGCCTTCAAGGCTAGGCAAAATGTATTTAATCATTAAGATTATTTCCCTCCATCTTTGTTGCTGACGTGGCATTCTATAAAGTTAATAGTATTTGGATGAATAGCTAAAATAAAGAGCATGGTTGGAGCAGAAACATGAAATCGTTGATAGGCAAAATAAAATGTATACTTTATAGTAATATTTAGATAGGTAAAATGCCTAATATCATTGGAGATGCTCTCAATGATAGTTACATTTCACACACATTTTTTTTACCCTTTCCAATATATTCTCCAAACAAAGCCTAATGCTTTACCAAATAGTATGAAGAAACAAGAAAAAAGAACCCCAAAAACAATGTATGTATTTACTAGTATGAATCATCATGGTATATACATGTATACATATACATATACACACACATACATATAAAAGAATGTGAATGGGGAGAACTCTTTATTAGTCTCCTAGAATACCATGTAGCAGTGTTACGGGTTTGATAATACTGACTAAATTTAAGTGACAAAAAATGACTCAATTATTATATTTTGCGAATTCTCATTTATTAATACAACAATACCAGATAGTTCAAAATTTTATGACTCAAATGACTCAAATGGCTCAAATCATTCAAAACGATATCGTTTTGAGTATAAATGAGTGTAAAACGACATAGTTTTGATAAATTTGAACCATTTGAGCCACAAAAATTTGAGCTGCCAAATATTTTCCTTATTAATATCACATATTATACTCTGAGATTACCTAATTATTTTTCCTATTCCTTGTGTCGGTATCAAAACTAAACTTTAAAAAGGAAAAAGGAAAAAGAAAAAAGAAAAAAGAAAAATATATTTACTAGTATGAATCATCATAATGCAAGAGAGATACCCCAAATTCATGCATATACACAATTAAAAGAAATTGAAAAGTTGAAACAACGCTTTACCTTCTGGACTAGCAGAGGCAAGAGTGTCATAATCAGACTCATCTAATTGCTTGTTCTGAAACTGATCAAAGCGATGGAGAAGAGAACCGAAAGCGAAGATCTTAGGGAGGGTGATGGAGGGCTTCCTTCTTCTGTTGGTGGTGGTGGATTCAGATTGGGGACGGTGCCCTTGTTTTGCAGCCAAGATGAGAAGCCTCTCATTCAAGCACAAGGGACACACCCCTATAATGGCCTCTTTTGGATGGAAATAGCAACATGGCTTGTCTTCTTCCCTGTACTCAGTCATGGCAAATAGAAGAGAGTGAGTGACAATGGTAGTTTGATAACACTTTTTACAGCCTTGGGAGAGGAGGAAGAGGAGGAGGATGGGAACATGGGTTGGGAGAATATATACATACATGTTATATACAAGCATGGCCCACCAAAATTGATCAATTTGTGCCACTAGACTCACTTTGGTTTCAACCAAAAAAGAGTCATTTTTTGCCCCAGTTGAAATCTTTTAAAATTTAAAAAAATAATAATAATAATTTAAAAAGTACATAAACTCATTTATTTTGAGATTTTAAACGGATACAGCTAGTCTTATATTTTTTATATAATTATATTGATCTTATTTTTAGTAAGATAAAGGGGTTGTTTGGGGTGTCTTAAATAAGTGTACTTTTATTTTTTTGAACTAAAAAATTGAGGAAAAAAATATAGATGTTTGGGTTAATTTTTTGACTTTTTATGAAAAAATGTGCATTAAAAAATTGTATAAATTAGTGTGTAGGAGAAAATTAGGATTGAGAGTTGTGTAGTTGTAATTTTTGAATTTTGGTGAATAGTGATAACTTTTTAACTTTTTGAGTAACTTTTTAACTTTTTGATAACTTCTCAAACTTGGCCAAAATATATATATATATTTTTTAATAGGATTAACTTTATTTGAGAAGTGTTAAAAAGTAATTTTTTTTTTTTCCAAACATTTTTATCTTTAGTTATAAAACATTTTACTGTTCAGGTTTCAACTTATTTAGCTGAAAATTAAAAAAATAATACTTTTAGCAGGATTCACCCTATTTGACAAGTGTTACAAGTAAAATAAAAATAAAAATAAAAAATTCAAACTTTTTGTCTTTAGTTATAAAAAATTTTACTTTTAAGTTTTTCTTCTCTAGAATGATCTATTAAAAAAAAATAAAAAAGAATTCACTAATGCTGTGTTTGGTTGGAGTTTTTGAGGTGGGATTTAGAAAAGGAATGAGAAATGTAATCCTATTTATGTTTGGTTATAATAAAAAATATCAATTTTCAAATGCATCAACTTTTTCAAGAACAATTTTAACCTTAAAATAAAATAATAAATACTAAAAAAAATATTCGTCAAACCAACCTTTTAAGAGTGTTACCAACATTATAATATATATATATATGAATTTTTTTATTTATTTATCAATTTTCAAATGCATCAACTTTTTCAAAAACAATTTTAACCTTAAAAAAAATATTCGTCAAACCAACTTTTTAAGTGTTACCAACATTATAGTATAATATATACATATAAATATATGTATATTTATGATAAGCTATTCGAACAATTTGTAAAATTTACTATGCTAAAGTAGCACAGGTACTCGAATAGTATAGTATTTTCTATGCCATTTTTTTTATTTAAATTTTTTTATCATCTACCTATCAACCACCATTTTTCAATGATGATTTAATTATTAATTTAAGTTAAAGTTGTAAAATAAATAGACTTGTGCATAGATGCCAATTTTATATTTAGAATTAATTTGTCTCAATTAATTTGTGCCAAATTAACTAACTCTCACTCAATTTATTTTTACATTACATTATATTACGGATGCATCAGGGTGACATTTTCCAAAAGTCTTATACAATAGAGATTGCAGGATTTTTTCACTGTAAATTAATATAGTTAAGTTATTACAGTAAGCATACGTCACTCTATTAACTCAAACTTGAATCTCATCTCTTTAACACCTAAGTGACCCTCATAACCATTTGAGTTATAGCTTACCTCTTAATGGAGATTGAAGTTTATTGAATGAAAAACTTGCCTTTAGCATATGGTGACTTTATTTTTTTATTTGGATAAGTTGCATATGGTGACTCTTTCATATACATAACGATCACATTCTGGAAGGTCTCTTCCATGTGAGGAGAATATATGTTAAGCTTTGCCCAATAGGACTCCGTGATGAAGGACATTGGTCTCGTGCACAACCCCTAAAAATAATGGCTATGAGATACATGCTGTGAGTGATTGCAGGTGGAAGACCATTGTAGGCTTTGCCACATGTGAAGCCCAAGACTACTCTAGCCAAATTGAAGGATAGTTGGATAGAATACGCAGAATAGTGGTCAGATGAGGTTGTGTCCAGCCGCAATCACTGAGTTGTCTAACCTTAGGGTCATTGAATCCCTTAAAATGACCAACCTATACGTCGACATGGTCATTGGTCTATCTGGCCTTGCAGTCAAAGCCGTTGGGCCATGATTCGTAATAATCCATATTCTCAAGTGATACTTTAGTTGAGTAAAGGGAGCCAAGATTTCTTTTTGAACACTAAGTTTACCCTAATCTAACTAAAATAGTTGAATCGTACAATCCCAACAAATTACAAGTCAGCGAGGTTAGTTGAGCCAACTTGAGCTTGTAAGTCATACGTATAAGTTGGGTCTACTTTTGGGCGTTCGTATAACAAATTATATATATGTTTTTTTTTTAACATTCATACATAAATTGTTCAATATTCTTAGATCGTTAATCCATTCCATTCGTGCTTTTTGTATTTAGTATTTTTTAAAAAATTCTTTCATAAATATATTACGTTTTAAGTGCATCTAAATTAAGTAGATCTAAAAAAAATTTAAAAAATATATTACGTTTTAAGTGCACCTAAATTAAGTAGATCTAAAAAATTTTAAAAATTTTAAAATTAAAAAAATTATTAAATATGAAAAATAAAAACTCAAAAACAAGAGTTTTGAGTCTCAAACCAAACAAAGTGGAAATTTGCATTGCAGTCCTGAAAAGGACTTTAAAAAGTGTTGTGCAGGTCACATGGACAAAGGGAGGACTGTATCCAATTTGGTTGGCTTGTGGTCAGGTTTAAATCATGGACCAAATTAAGTCAGATGGATTGGATGTGTCACTTGCCAAAAATATTTTAAAAAACTTGGAGGTGAGTGTCCTCATACCACACCACACCTCACTGTGTAGTCCTCTCCAAACTTGGGGCCTGTTTTCCCCCACCTAACAATTCTAGCCATTTAAATTGGTAAATGAAAATGATTTATAAATAAAAAATTTATAAATATTTTTTAATTAAAATCATGTAGTGACACTCTTGAAATTATAAATCATAATAATATGTATTAATTAGTTTAAGATGAAAATAGCATAAAGCATCGCATAATTTTATATGTGAATTACGTATAAAAACGCTACTCTTCTCTTATTTTTATTTTAAATAAAATTATTGGTGATGTTACCAATGATGAGCTAAAGAAAGGTAGAATGTAGCAATAAATTGTCACTTCTATTCCTTTTAGCAGTGTTAACATTAAGGATATAAATGTAATACCATTGGTGAATTCATTTTTATCACTGCACTCAAAACTTTACTTACAAGTAGATGCTTTCTAGAATAAACTGTCTAATGTTGTGTTTGGTTGGGGGATTTGAAAAAAAATTTGAAAAAAAAAATGAAAAAAACAGATGAAATGTAAATAAAATACACCTATATTTTACTTAGTTTCACACACCTTTTCCCTTTCCCTTCCTAAATCCCTCATCAAATTCCCCAACCAAACACAGCGTAAAGGAAAAAAAAAACAGTATCCATAGTATGTGAGAGAGCAATAGAGATCACCAGTAGGGAGAGACAGAAAGCGAGATCACCAGTAGTCTAACTCGTCCATTTTTGTGCTTCAAGTGAATATGAAACTTCCCTCAGAATTCTGTTGAAGCAGACAGAGTTCTGAGTTGAATCTGTGTCCATATGTTGTTCATTGGTTTTATATTGGTCAGCATAGACATAGAGGGCATGTGAACAGAAGTGATCCTAATTTCATTAAGGTCCGAATGTAATAATAACCAAAATGCACAAGGAACTTGGTCTGCAACCGAAAAAACAAATTACAAAAAGAAAAAAAAAGAAAAAAAAAAAAAAAAAAAGTGACCATAGAAACCACATCAAAAGTGTTATATTGGTCAGCATAGAGGGCATATCTTCAAGAACAGAAGTGATCCTAATTCCATTAAGGTCTGAATGTAATCATAACCAAAATGCACAAGGAACTTGGTCTGCAACCGAAAAAACAAATTACAAAAAGAAAAGAAAAAAAAAAAAAGAAAAAGACACCATAGAAACTACATCAAAAGTGTTATATATAACACCAAAAAAAGAAAAAAAAAAAAAAAATGAAGTTTACAATGTTATAAGAAACCTATCTGTTAGAACTTATACACCAATAATGAAAAGCAATTGGGATGAAGAGGAGGGATATATGTGCAAAGCAATACTCATAATTAATTCATTTCAAGTGAACACCAAAAAACAGCCCATCAGTCCATTCTAGTTAATGCAATAGAATGACAATAAAATATGGCCGTATAAAGTAATCTAAAGAAAATTGTTTCATAAAACGTCCAACCACACAAAATTGAGTATATCCAACAGACCATAGGAAATTGAACTTCAAGTCAATCAATCAAAGATTGCAAGTTATTAAAAATGAAATTGTACTAATATTATAGTCAGAATAGACTAAAAACTTGTATCCATATTGAAAAAGAACAAGTTTTATTATCTTATCTTTTGTTGAAATCTGTCTTCACCAACATTGTAAAAGCATAGATAATGACGCTAGACTTGTAGTGTAACATTGTAAAAACATAGATAATGAAGCTAGACTTATAGTGTAACATTGTAAAACATTGTTTATCTTAATCCCAATATGAAGACCATGCCACCCCATCAACTATTGTTCCAACCCCTCATCCAAATGTTATAGAGTAACACAAAATAAAAGGAATGAAGAATTGCAGCCCATAATTAAATCAAGATAGAGCCCTTAATGGTGGAAAAGATGGGTAAAAAGAATCATGGAATAGACATGAGTTGAGTAAGCAACTCACAGTTTACAAATGACCTTTTTCTTATAAATTAGGACATCCATAGTTTAACACAGGATCACTATATACAAACCACAACACTAACGAAAGTGGTACTTGTTTGCTATGTACAATTAGGAAGTCCCAAGTAGAGTGGAATGAAACTAGTCTCAAGTTTTGTAGCAGGAAGGAATCATATACAGAAAGATTCAAAATAAGAATTTAAAATTCAGAGTTGTGTTTGCATAAAACACTTTCTACTTGAAAGACTTACATAAAACATTTTCTACTTGAAAGACCTAAAAATTTAACCAGTTCGGTTCTTTCAGTAAACTAACCAGCATTAATGGATAACTAAGGATATCAAATTCGACATTTGATTCTTTCCACTCCAGAAAACAAGTGTAAGGTATCAAGAAAAATAACCATATTAGTGTGAATCTATTAAGAATATGTATACACATTACCCTTTCCACTCACAATCCATGGCCGTCTAAATTGTTCTTATCAATACAACATAACTTACTCATGTTTTTTAGCTTATTACCTGTAAAAGAAATCCTCAAATCTTTTCCACCACCAGCAGAGGAGTGCAATTCATTTTTTATCCTGTGAGTCATTGATTGATTCAAACATGATATGTTAATCACCTAAGGCTCAGACGGCAGATCAATGGGCTCTTAAAACTCAAGCACTAAAGAACACCACACCCCCCCCCCCCAAAATGTAAAAAAAAAAAAAAAAAACATATAATAGACAATTTTCATATATATACCGGACTTGCAATTTGGTGTAAGGTAAAAGGTTGGGGAATGAGCAACTTCAAAAAAAATTGGATACAAACTGTACCTGAATCTGCTTCAACAAATAAAGCACTGATTTGGCCTTTTCAAAAATAGTTAGTGGGCTCGTATCAGTTGCACATATAGGCCTCGTAGCACAGTAAAATGAAGATATAATTGCAATGAGTACTAAACAAGCAATTAAAACCAAGAGAAAAAAAAAATCCCTCGGCTCATCAACCACGAACATACCAGGCCTCCAAAATGTAATAAACCAGTTCTATAGCATTTCACCAACAAATGAAGAAGAAAAATCTCAATGCAAAGTAGTTAAATGTTAAAAGGAGGATTGCAGTTTTCCAAAAGCTGAGCTACACCACACACGAGCTTTAAGCAACATATCTTGGATTGGACCTTGAACCTCTTACAAACACATGACTGCAAATTCAACACATCAACAAGTGGTAAAGGCAAATAGAAGACAATATATTGTAAAGAAACAAAGGTTGTTCAAGTACACATTTTATCAAACAAGTGATAGACAAGACAATAAACATAGGATCACCTTGTGGTGGCTGATGGAAGCTCTTCAATCCCACCCCACCACCCATCCTCCCCCACCTCACCACAGCCCGATCACCATTTTATCACTAAAGCCCTCCGTCGTCCTCTCCCACCACAGTTCCACTACCCCTTCCCCACCCCACCACAGCCCTGCCACCCTTTCACCACCGAAACACCCCCACAGCTAGGCATCATTTTTGTAGAAACGATGGTTGAGTATGGAGAAGAGCGAACAAAAGAGAATAACCATGAAAATGAACCGGAGAGAGGAGTCGTGCGAGGAATGAAATCAAGAGCTGAATCGATTGATTGGTAAACATTTTGCATCAATTAAATAAATCAACAATCAAGATAAAATATTATGCATCCAAGGGCTATCAAAAGGGGTGCATAGGGTATACACTCCTTTAAGAGGTGTGAACCAAAATTGTTCCCTTTTTTTTTTATCAGTAACAAAAGAAATATTAATAAAAAATTACAAAAGAATAAAAGAACAAGGAGTCCTCCAAAGAAAGAAACACAAAAACAAAGTCCTCTTGCTACATATCAGACATTGTCCTCCTATCTCTAGAAATCAAAAATAGTGGAATCACTCTAAAAGGAGGGGATACAGAGTCACAAAAGATGACAAATAACACGAGAGTGATCAAGACAAACAAAGGAAGAAGAGGGATAGAGGATGCAACACTTTAAAGAATTGGAGTGTCACACCCCACTCCCCTTCCGAGGATGGAGTGCAATAACATTTGATAAACGTTTTTTTTTTTTTTTTTTCATAGTTAAAAAAAATTTAGATTCAACACCATTAAACAAACCTCTTATTTACATATATTTAACTGGTCAATATACACTAGTGGAATTTTACATTAACTAGAACATACACAATTAAAATTCTTTTATACATATAAATATTTGTCCCTTTATTACTTGCAACTCTGCTTTCCTTTTCCAGCAACTATTCATAGTGGACCCTCCTATCCGGATCACCTAACAAAATCATTTTGTTAGTGAACATTCATAAGAATTGAAGCCATATGTGTGAGTTTCTATGGCTCACGTATAAACCTTTCATAAAACTCTTTGCACAACTTAAGCAGTTCACATATGTAACTTGGATTTTTCTCATGTGTCAGCTCAGCTGTATAGAATTCAAGGAATGTCACTTAATTTTATGTTATTAATCTTATTTTATGTTGTTTTGGATGGAAGCATATGATGTTTTTTACTGGACCACAACTAAGAATGTTAGTCAGACTATGTAACTATCATAACTGACAAGGATTATTGATTTATCTCAAAAGCCTTTTCCAGAAGTAAACAGGGAAATTTGTATCCCATTTAATATAATTACATTTAAGATTGCTGTTCTTGAATACATTAATAACTAGTTGACTTTGTATATACATACAGCAACACCAGGATAGATTTCTTATAAGAAAGAAACTGACCCCAAAAACAAGTGGCAAGCACATATGCAAACATGGATTAGTTTCTCCCTTATGTTCTTCCAAGTCGTAAATGGCATCTCACTGCATTTCAATAAATTATGCAGACCGATTTTGATGACTGCTTCAGCCATAAAATAAAAGTAAGGTCAGCAGAAATTATTGCAAATTTGCAGTTCATCTTGCTATATATTGCTCTACAAGAATGCAAAGAGGGCTATAGCCCCATAAACATGTGAAGAACAATCTTAACAATAGGAAAACACACAGCTCCATCATATCAAGAAATAAAATTTGATAGCTAGTGGGTCTATAAAATTAAGATTAAGCTCCATTAGAAATAAAATTTGGTCTATAAAATTTTATTTCTCTCTTCTCTCTATAAAATTTTATTTCTCTTCCTTTGAATGGAGCTGTATGTTTTAATAAACAGCTTAGCACTTATAAAACAATACTGCAACAGAATCAATGTAAAAGGAATTTAGTATTAATTGTATTAAACTGAAAAATTGCATATACAAGAAAGACTTTCCAACATATTTGTCAATTTCATAATTTCAACTAAACCAACATGCGCTGCTATATCAGTCACAATTCCCCAAACACAAGCCATAACCCCATATTGCATTGATCTGTGAAATTCATTGCAATATAAAGAGCACAGTTTGATTTGAAGCAGGAAAGAGAAGATGTAGTTACCAGTCCTGAAACTGTTGTCTTCATGATAAACTAAAAGGTTTTCATGATCTCAACAACTCTACATAAAATGGAACCGAGAACCATGAGAATGGTTGCTTAAATTTATTTCAGCACCTGTAGAAAACAATTTCTCGGCTACAATTGGCTTTAACAGCATCCTCCAAACTCTCAACTCGGTCAAAATCAACTTTGAAAGTGACCATGGTGATATTGTCTTTTCCAGTTTCATAATCTTGCTTGACGTCCTCAACTTGAAAAGATTGTAGCTACAAATCACCAAGTACAAGTGTCAATTGTGAGAGAGAGAGAGAGAGAGAGGAAAAAAGAAAAACTCTTCCTCAGGAAAATTTTAGATGTACTTAAGTACATTCAGCATCTTTCTCAATTATAATAACAAAAACATTAGCTATTTCTAACACAATATTCATTATGTAACATATAATCGTGACAACAAGATGACACAGTATCATAGCTTGCAAGAAATAAGTATGAGCATCTCCAATGGGATAGCTAAATTTGTGTGTCAAAGTGTGTTAACTGACAAAAAGTGATAGTAGTTGGACCCAATACTGTGTGTTAAGTATTTGTTGTGACCCAATAGTGTTAAGATGTGTTAAGTGGATATAAAACAAAAACAAAAAAAATTATCGAACTGGGGCATGTGTCAGCCTCTCTGTCTCTCTCTCTACTAAACACAAGACTCTCTCCACAGTTAACATCTCAGATAACTAAAGCAACTGTCAATAGCTAAATTAATGTTACCACTGGGGACACAAAATCAAAATTTTGTTTGTTAACTGTCTTTTTTCAGTTCATACTGGCACTAGCACTAGGTTTATTAAACCCATTGGAGATGTATAAATATAATAATTTCATAAACAATTGCAAAAATTACTAAACAAAAATCGCAAGAAATATAAACTGCGCAACATGCAAGTGAGGGGGGTTGGAGGTGGAAGAGAAGGAGCACCTAGACATTTTAATATTTTTCCATGCCGAACAAAAATAGTTCTTCCAACCTTGAAAAAGTTAGTGCCACATGTTTGACCAACTTACCTGATGGTATACAACTCCCAAAAGATCAAATGGAACCTCCAGACCCATCGGAACCTACAATGAAAATCCTCATAACAATTGCAAGTCCCATAAAATTAACATCAATGATGAAAAGATATGAAGTGAGAAAAGGGAGAGAATTCTTCCTGATATGCAAAACAACTCCATTGAAATTTCAAAATGAAGTTGGTACCATCAGCAGAAAAACAAAAAACAAAAAAAAGAAAAAAGAAAAAAAAAAGGAGTACATAATGAAACGAATGAGAGACAGAACAAGTGAGCGAGAAATCTATTACTTTAGATTTCACAAGCACTGTCGGAGCATTTTTTAGGCATTCTGCAGCAACTCCACCATAAGCCCTAACTAATCCTCCAGTGCCTAGTTTGATACCGCCAAAGTGCCTGAAATTAAGGAAAGCAAAGCAGATAAACAAAATGCGTATAAGTAATAGACCCTCAATGCATGCATACATAGCTAGAAGATGGCATGCACGTGAACTTCAATCATGAACTACCAATGACGCAAGAGTAATCTTGCAGCACCACATGCAACTGCAGTTGCAAGATATACATTATTAAATGCTAAATAGAGATGTTAAAGTAGATAAAGACAACTATTGTTCATAAGTAATATTGAGAAACATATATACCTTATCACAACCACCATCACTCTATCTATTCCCGAAGAAACAATTGCAGAATATATTGGTTTTCCAGCTGTACCAGATGGTTCACCATCATCATTACTTCGGTACTGATCACCAACCTAGGACGGAAAAAGAAAAAAAAAAAATCACATTGTGGTAAATTAAAGAAAAAAATACCACAAAAATGGCGCCACCCAAACATGCATACCATGAAATCTTTCTTTAGCCCATACAACTCTAGCACAAGTCATAATTCCTGCACTTGATAAGAGGAAACATACAAGTCCCACAACCAAAAAAATTCAGTTTCATATTTGACATCCAAATTCCCTTGGATGTGACTACACACTGCTCTTCAACTCTGAAGAGCCTATATATTGCTATTTGGTCATTGCGAAAGTTTGTTAAATGGAACCTTACAACTTGATTCTCTTAAAATTGATATAATATAAAAATATGTTGTGATTTTGTACGAGCTAAAAGAAAGAAAAAAAATCATGGTAAGCTTATTAAGATGATATCTTTACACTTTCCTCTTGTAATTTATAATTCTCAATGATATGGGATGATTGTATATATACCTTATAAGCCCAACAATTATGAGTGGCACGGGGATCCCGAACCTATATATCAAGAATTAATCAATTTAGAAAACTAGCTTAATATTTATCGAATTGAAGAGCTATATAGAAAAATGAGCGGCCAAACAAAGCATGAAATGAAAGAACAAACAAGTACAAAAAAACTAGGAATGGATAAGATTGTATGAATTAATATAATGAATGATGAATATATTAATAATGAGCTTGTATATATATGTAGGTATGTATGTAACTAACCTCGGAGAGGAAGGAGTGAGCGGAGCGCTCGTCGGAGATGGGGCCTGAAATGGCGATGAATTTGCTCTTTTTGATCTCCCGTTCGAACGTAACCCTCTCCTTGATGGTCGTGAACGCCCCTGGTTTGTTGCTTCCGCCGCCACCGGTGGTGGTCATCGGTCTATTAGACCTGGCGAGTAGGAGCAGTGGGCCGTAAAGAATATGACGGTGGTCGTGGTGGTGGTGGTGCCAGATCGCCACCGTCATCGCTACCTCCCGTTGTCATTGCTACATCTCACTCAACTTTTCACGCCTATAGGGAACCACCAACAATGAACCACACCGGCGCCGGCAACGGTTTTGGGTTACAAGTGGTGGTCGTGGTCGTGGTCGTGGTGGTGGCGGCGGCGGTGGAGGTGGTGGTCGTGGTGGTTCAGCCTCAGCCGGTGGTAGGGTTTTAATAACGAAATCGCCGCTTGCATTTGAAATCGGATATAGTGCTGCTGACAGCGAGACCCTGATTGCTTTTCTTTTCAAATTAAAATTTATCAAAAAATTGAGGTTATAAAATATTAATTTAAAAAATTAAATTGAAAATATGTTGAGGTTCATATCTATATCTATCTCTCCATAAAAAAGTTTAAGAGCTCTTATACTACTTATGTAGCAGTAGGCTTCACTTATAAATAATTTGATGTACGTTTTTTGTTTTTTGTTTTTTTTTTTTCATATCACATCATTAGTGTCATTATTAGAGCTTCGTATTTAGAGTTATGAATCATGACTCATCTCTCTATTATGAGGCGTTTTGGCAAGCAGAAAAAAAGTTAGTTTTTTGACTTTTTAATTTTTTGGGTCATATATTACCTCTTTGTTTTTTTATACTAAAAAAGTCAAAAAGTTATAAAAAAAAAAGTCAAAAAATTAATTTTTTTACCATCTTCCCAAAACACCACTATATAAACAAAAAGGGCTTTAGCAAGGAGTCTCGTGACAGTTTCAATATCTCACACTAATTTTTTTAATTTTATGTAATTAAAAAAATCTCCATTGGTTAATTTTTATTTAACTATGTATAATTTTAAATAATTAAAAAGTATCCATTGATGAAGACGCAACTTTATTCACTTAAAGGGAACAATTAAAAAAAATCTGCATTGGTTAGCTTCCATTTAACTATATATAATTTTAAACAATTAAGAAAATTTCTATTAATTAGCTTCCATTTAACTATGTATAATTTTAAATAATTAAGAAAATCTCCATTGATAAATGCATAAATTTATTCCCTTAAAGGGTACAACACTTTCCATTTAACTATGTATAATTTTTAACAATTAAGAAAATTGTTGGAGAATTTTCAAAATGGGTTTTCAAAGTTTATAGTTTAATTTTTGGGTGTTTTCAAAACCTTCTTTGTTTTTCTTTGGAAAGCTTGAAATAAGTTTGGGGACATTGTTCCACATCGAAAAGAGAGGAAAACATGGAACACTTAATAAAGGGCTACATGGAATATTCTTTTGAATATGGAATTGTGAGGTGAAAGCTAGTGTGCGTACACTCACACCTCAAGAATAGTGTTTCGCACAATCCGCACACGCACACGTGTGCGCACGTGATGTGGTGTGGGTTGTGGGTCGTGTGGCGGCGCACTTTGCACAGACGCAAGGCGCCATGAGGGTGCTTTCCTATTTGCATCGGACAGGTTGAAATGATGACGTAGATCCAACGTGAAATGGGTGATGTGAAATACAATCAGCTCTACGTGGCATCTGTTGACGATGAGTCAACCAACCGATCGAATGGTTATGTGTCCGATCTGAAGCGGTTCGATCATAGTTGTTGATTGGAGATGCGTACGATCGTTCAGATGAGATGGCACCTAATCGTGATCATCAGGTGTGATCAGTCAAGGCAGCTATTCGGTGTGAGACTGATCTGCACCATAGATCGTCGATCCAACGGTCAGATCTGATCGGATACAATCAAGGGACATGACCATTCGATCAGGTGTATCAAGGCCTATAAATAGGCTATGAATTCAGCCATTTCAATCATCTAAAAATTCAGAAAGCATTCCTACAATTCTCTCTCTCTCTTTCTCTCTCTCCCTCTTGATTTAGAGTTTTCAATCAAGAGTTTCTTAAGAAAATTTCTGTTTTTCTTACTGCTAATCAAGTTCTGCAGATTTGATTATCAATGTCTTGGTTTTCTTGATTATATCAAGAGTATTCTGATCTACTGTCGTCTGTGCAGATACCGGTAGACTTGATCTTTAAATCAGGCTTCACTGTATCTTGGAGGCGAATTTGCTATAACCACATGCACACCTTTTGGTGGATGCAAATATTGTTTTTAGGAAAACAACAAAATAACGCGACTTGAAGCACCAAATTTTTGTTCTACATAGACACAATCATCGCCAAGTTTTGAAGACCCAAAGACTACCAACTGAAGAATTCAAGATGAATTGTTTCAACAATTTAAAGATAAATAGATATGGCGATGTCTATTTAGAAAATGACTTAAGATTTCATGAAGCTTGACCTTTTTGATGGCGGAAATTTCCAACGTTGGCAAAAGAAGATGCACTTTTTGCTTACCACTCTCAAAATGGTCTATGTGCTGACTACCCCCCATCCAGCAGAGCAAGAAGACGAGACTATGGAGCAAACCTATACCAGAACCAAATGGGAGAATGATGACTACATTTGCTGAGGACAAATTCTGAATGCGCTGTCAGACTCTCTGTTCGATGTATATCAATATCTGGAAACATAAAAGCAACTTTGGACATATTACAGTCAAAGTACCTCACCGATGATGCCACCAGTAAGAAATTTCTTGTTAATACTTTTATGCGTTTTACTATAATTGATACAAAGCCCATTATAGAGCAATTCCATGAGATCCAACATATTCTAAGTCAATTTCAACAAAAGAATATGAACATTGATGAATCTATTGTAGTTTTATCTATAATAGAGAAACTGCCATCTTCTTGGAAGGATTTTAAGAAAATTCTAAAACACAAAAATGAAGATCTAACTTTAGAGGTTCAACAAAAAGAAGCGTAAGCGTGAACCCCAACCCGAGAAAGATGCTAAGAAGCAGAAAGGCGCTTGCTAGCACTGTGGCAAGCCAAGGCACTTCAGGAATGAATGTCGATCATACAAGAAGAAGTCAGAAGCATCAAATGCCAAGAACAAGTTCGTGGTCGTTGTATTTGAGCTGAACATGCTCGAAGATGCTGGTGACTGGTGGATTGACTCGGGAGCAACAAGGCACGTCTACAATGACAAGAGTCATTTTATTACTTATGAACAAGTGAGTGATGGAATAGTTCTCTACATGGACAACTCTTCAACTACTGCTATCAAATGCAAAGTGACGGTGGATCTAGAGTTTACATCTAGAAAAGTCTTAAGTCTTAATAATGTTTATCATGTACCTGATGTCAGGAAAAACCTTGTATTTGGGAGCCTGCTTGATAAGCATGGTTTCAAGTTAGTATTTGAGTCGGACAAATTTGTCCTGTCTAAAGGTGGGATTTTTTGTTGGGAAGGGCTATATGTATCAGGGAATGTTCAAACTTAACATTATCAATAATACATTTGTTTTTACTTATATTGTTGATTCTCTTTCTTTATGGCATGCTCGTTTAAGTCATGTTAATACTAGGAAAATGCATGATATGGTTAATTTAGATTTAATTCCTAAGTATGACATTGATATGTTTGAAAAATGTAAATTTTTGTGTGCAATCTAAAATTACTCGCATTCCATTTCCTAAAATAGATAAAATCACATCTTTGCTTAAACTTGTGCAGAGTGATGTCGTGACATGCATAGTACCCCTACTAGAGGTGGTAAGAAATATTTTGTAACATTCATTGATGATTTTTCTAAGTACTGTCATATCTATCTTTTGCATTCCAAAGATGAGGTGTTTGATAAATTCAAGATTTTTAAGACAAAAGTAGAAAATCAGTGTAATATCAAAATAAAAAAACTTAGATTTAATAGAGGCGATGAATACCATTTTCCAGAATATTGTGAAAATGTTGGTATTATTCTTGAGAAGTTTGCACCTTACACACCACAACAAAATAGAGTAGTTGAAAGAAACAATAAGACATTAACAGAAATGATTAATGCTATGCTTTCTTACTCCAGTTTAAGTTCTAGTTTTTGGGGTGAAGCCTTACTCACTGCTTGTCACATACTCAATAGAATTCTTCTTAAGGGAAGAAATGTTACTCCTTACAAACTTTGGAAAAATAAGAAACCTAATCTAGGTTACTTGAAAACATGGGCCTGTAGAGCAATAGTCAAATTGCCTGAACCTAAAAAGAAGAAATTATGTGAAAAAGGAATTGAATGCATATTCCTTGGCTATGCTATACATAGCAAAGCATATAGGTTTCTGGTAGTAGAGCCCAATGGTTTAATGGAAACAAATACCATCATTGAATCATGTGATGTGGTATTTTATGAGAATCATTTCACAAATATTCCAATGTTGGATTCTAGTCAAGAAAATGAATCAACTCCTTTGATGTCTACAGAGGAAACTGAACGACATAAACCCATTGAGCCTAATGAATCTAATAAGCCTATTGGGCTAATGAGAAGTAAAAAGGCTAGGATCAAGAAATCAGTTGGCCCTGATTTCATTGTTTACCTTGTAGAAGGAACTAGGAAAGCTTTTTCTAAGCAAACAATGATTTCTTTAAATATGAATTTAAATCCATTAACCTTTGAGAAGGTTATGAAGACTCAAGATGTTGTTTTCTGGAAAGAAGTAATAAAACGATGAGGTGAATTCTATCATGGGTAACAATATCTGGATACTTGCTAATTTGCCACCTCGATCCAAACCAATTGGTTGTAAATGAATTTTCAAAAAGAAAATAAAAGTTGATGGCACAATTGACAAGTTCAAAGCAAGATTAGTTGCTAAGGATTTTACTCAAAATGAGAGTATCGATTATTTTGATACATATGCTCTGGTGGCTAGAATCGCCACCATTCGAGTGTTGATTGCCTTAGCCTCAATCTACAAGCTTGAAATCCATCAAATGGATGTTAAAACCGCTTTCCTAAATAGAGAGTTAGATGAGGAAATCTACATGCAATAACCGGAAGGATTTGTTATACAGGGTCAAGAACACAGAGTGTGTAAACTCGTGAAGTCACTATAGGGACTGAAACAAGCTCCAAAATAGTGGCATGAGAAATATGACAAAGTAATAGTGTCAAATGGTTTTAGGATACATGAATTTGATAACTGTGCGTACAATAAGTTTACTGACAATAGAGGTATAATCATATGTCTATATGTAGATGGCATGCTTATTTTTGGTACTGACAATGATGTCATTGAAAGTACTAAAAGTTTCTTGTCGTCTAGCTTTAGTATGAAAGACATGGGCTTGGCTGATATAATTTTGGGCATTAAGATCAAACGAGAGGGTAATAATTTGATTCTTACACAGCAACACTATATTGCGAAAATTCTTAAGAAATTTAATCAATATAATTGTACACACATGTCTACACCTTTTGATTCAAATTTGAAATTGTATCCTAATACTAGAAAAACTATTGATCAACTAGAATATTC